TTGCCATGGGCTACCGTGTGTAGCCAGCAGCCAGCGTGAGCAGCCAGCAGCCGCCAGTGAGCGGCCGTCCAGAAGCCGGTGACTGATCTGCCTCACCTGGGAAGAACACAATGATGGTGCCAACTTGGGCCAGTAAAGCAACATCCTCCACAACTAGACTGAAGAACAAAAGGACAGCAACTTGTCTGTTCCCCTTCCCCCAATTCCCCAATAAAAATCTTTAAAAAAAAAAATGGAATGCAAATACTCACAAATGAACCTAACTGTATTATAAATAAATAACATAACCACACTGAAGGAGGCAGAGAAATAAAAAGCTAACTTAAGTAAGTTTGGAAAACAATATCTTAATACTATAAGGCTAAACACAAAAATGTACATAAATACTGTAATCTAGTTAATAAATGTGTTTCTCACATGGGTATGTGGTAACAATTCTGAAAATCCTTCATGTATATACTGGAATTGAATGAATAAGTAAATAAATTGTAAATAACAAGGCCTGGTTTCTTATTATTGGAGAAAGAAGTTCGAAATCAGGAAAGAGACGTCTAAAATGAGCCAGGTATTACTGGATGGAAATCTGAGGTATCAGTATATACCCATAGTTTTAAATATATATGTTTATATCTAAAGATGTATCTATTGATATAGATACATAGAGAAATACAGAAATATAGATGGATGTTTATGTGTGAATCAGCATACGCATACATACATGCATTTCCTAGCTCTGTCCACTGAGAGGACATATAAGCAATGACATTTAAATAGCATTAAGCACACCTACTGCTCGGGTTTTTTTTTCTAAACATCATTCTCCAATAAACGAAACCAAGGCTCTAGAGAAGTAAAAATGCTGGGTCTGGGGCAGGGTAAATACAAGATGAGCCTGGAACATCTTGTGGTTCCAGAAAGCTATTGTAGAAAATGCTTTAAAAAAAAGATGGGGGCTTATTGAAAGAACACAGATGCCAACATGAAGGAGATCCTAATGACCAAAGTTGGAACAAATTGAACAAAATAAATATAGTATTGGATTATAACCAATGGAATAAAATAAATCTATATTTATTAAATCAGTCAAATAAATAAATGAGGATGAAGGGACAGCTCTTTCTTCCAGTAGAATTCCAGTTAATGTAGAAGGAAAGCATGAAGTAGAAAATCATTATTAGGGAAACACCACAGTAATAATTGTTGCAGACCAAATCCACTGATGGATACTAAAGTTAGTGGGCAAATGTTTGAGGAGAAATAGGATATGCATTGTCTCAAAGTATCTACCCCAAGATATTTCTTAACTACAAGGGGAAAGATGATAAATTTACTGTAGAAAAACCTGGCAGAAACCTTTACCTTAACCAAGTGACCAGCGTCAGCATCACCAGTAACAAGACATGTCAACGTCATGAACCCTATGATGTGATCCACTGAGAAGGACATGACATTGTTTTTGCGGTATTCTTGCCAAAAAGCCTCAGCTGGATTATGAGGAAAACAGACAAACCGAAAATGATGGGCATTTGACACTCTTTGAAAGTGTCAAGGTCCTAAGAGACAAAGACTGAGGAGTTTTTACAGACTACAAGAGTCTACGGAAAAATATTATTAATAATTAAATGCAATGTGGGGTCCTGGATGGAATCCTGGAACAGAAAAAGGACACAGTGGAAAACTGATAAAATTCTAATAATGCCTTTAGTTCATAGGATTGTGAAATATTATGTCCCGATTTTGATCATTATGCTGTTGGTTATATAAGATTTTAATAATAAGGGACACCAGGTGAAGGATATACAGAAACTCAGTGTACTACTTTTGCAACATTTCTGTTAAATCTAAAATTAGTTCAAAGTAAAAAGTTAAACAAAAATCCTACTGCTAAAAAAAGGGGGAGAAAGGGGTTGTAGAGCTTCAAGCTGGAAAACTACTGAGGCGGAAGCCAAGTCTGGGAGCTGTTCTTAGCTTCCAGTCCCAGGGTAAGAATTAGAGTCAGAGCTGAGGAACAGGAGAAAAGGAAGAGAAAGTGGTTATTTATACTGAGCCTCCAGGTTCCTAGAAATACTAAAAGCCAAACTAAAGTGTTGGAAGCGATGTACTGAATCGGAAGTCCATCCGGTGGTGATGAGAGAGCTCAAGGAGTGTGAAAAGGAGACATGGAGTATGGGATATGAGAGCAGACCGGAACGAAAGAAGGGCAACTGCAACGTTAGAATTTAACTGATACAAATGCCAGTCATTACGTAAATTAAATTTTTGTGTCCAAATGGACTCCAGATATTCAAAGCTGCCTTTTTATATATATATATATGCAAGATTAGCTTAATCCTGTCACAGATTATTCATTTGAAATAGAAAATGGTCTTTGGAGAGTGAAGGCCGGAGACTTTTAACATGAGCTTGACAGATATACTGCCACTCAGTCATTTGATTAGGGCCTTTGAGGAGGATTGTGCTTTGTTTTATCATTGTGTATAGCAATAAATCAAAAGCTTTTTAGACCCAAAGCTAGACTGAACCCCAGTCTTTTGTCTATATATCCTACAAGCCTCCCCTTTTCTTTCTTCCCTCACAGAAGTAATCTAAAACTTACTCACTGTCTCCTTCAAAGAATTAATATGATTCTGGTCATATCAGACCTATTTTGGATAGAATTGTTTTAATAACTAATATAATATTGTATACCAACAATACTTAAATTTTTTTTTAAGTTTAGGGGTTTAACATAAGAAAAACTCGAGATGGAAAAAATTAATTTAAGAAAGATAGCTGAAAATGAAATTTCAGCCAGTCATTGTGAGAAACAAGAATTCACCGAGGAGAAAGGTTTTACCTGCTGATTTACTGAGGATGGACCAATTCTGAACCATTTCCAGGAAGTTGGAATAATAGTGACTGAGTATGAGTAGCCATGATGACTTCCTCAAAGCTATAGGGGGTGATCTAATATCCATCACTGAACACTGGTACAATAAGAGACTGAAGAAAAAAACTACATTCTCAGACTTGTTTCCTATTTGAATACGTAGGAAAAGTTGTAGATAACATCAATAGACAATTTGCAGGAAGTACCAAACATTTTTAACAGATGGTATGTACGTATACATACTACGTAACCACTTAGAAATGTCTAGTAAAAACCTATTTTGAGCCACAGTGCAAATTTCATGAAGATGTTGAATGATCTTTCAGCCTGAATTCTGCAAAGGAATCAAGACTTTATGTTTGGAATGCCAAAGAAATATTTAAAATTAAAAGGAAAGTAGCCATTGAAGGGGCAACTTTTGCCATGTTATCTAACCTTTGTTAGCTAAAACTGCATTTAGCCAGGAGCACAGATGATTTTTAATGAAATCAGTAAAAGAACCCTCTTCCTAAATTTCAGAATTTTTATCTTCAAACTTAATCCCATTACTTTAGGTAAAGGGTAAATTATAGCTGATTTGCTCAGCCATGTTTCACTTTGAGATGTGGAATCAATTGAGGTAAAATATGATGAAAGTTCATATTGATTCAGAGGTTTGCTGTTTGCCTTTTATAAAGTGGAGATTTGTATCCATGTGTGGACATAACCACTGACATTCGCTGTTCATTGAGAGGACAGATCAATTGCTGCCAAGTTTTCTCTTTGGGTTCCTTACATCGTGCTTAAGATAGGTAATAAAACAATGACCAGTCTATCTAAAGAAAAGAGTGGAGTTTTTTTAGTCCAACTTTTCATTCCCAATTTCATATTTTTTTCAGATATTGCTTCACTCACAAGCAATTCCTGTCCTCAGCTTTATATGTTTATATGTACAGGAAACTGAACATTTCCCGTACAGTTTTTTTATGCTTAATGACAAGGATTTCAGGTATTTTGTTTGAGTGACATTTCCAGAATTTGTTAAAGAGCTAGTATGAGTATAGATTAGGAGTCTGTTCAAAGCAGGACACATGAGTCAATGACTGTTCTCAGAGAGAATTGAAAAGCTGGGGTCCCAGTAATTTATGAATGCTCCTAGGGAAAATTTCGGATACCTATAGGCAAAAAGCCAGTAGCTGAAAAGGAGAGTCTGCAGAACCTTGATGATGACAGTGATGACAGTGGTGAGGAAAAAGCTATGATGATGGGGCAACAGCTGACATTATGTGCACATACTATGTGCCGAGCACTGAGCCACATGTTTTCCATACATCCAGGCTGAATCTCCCCTGCCAATTTCATGTTATCTACACAACCCCATCACTCTTGCGGGTACTCCTGAGCCCACAGAGGGGTCTAGATTAAAATCACGCTCTGCACTTGCCCTTGAGGTGGAGTGAGCTCCCTGCAAATTCAAACAGAAAACCAGAGCTTCAAACTCCATGTTCCAGCCAGATAGCCCAGACCCTGAATGATGTTAAGACTCATACATTTTCTAAGTTCTTTGAATTTAAGACCTGCATCTAACAAAAATCTCACTCCTTTTCTTCTTTCTATTAACTAATTTTGATTATTTGGTCTCGAGGTGCTCAGAAAATAATGATAATTCTTAAATCTGAGTTATTTTTTATAAGGCTGTTTGTAATACAACTATAATTTTTAAAAGTGATGGCATAAGCATATGTATTTGTTGAGACTAGCATAGTTTTTCTCTGATCATTTTATTCCTAATGCTTTGTTACAAGATCAGACGCTTTCCTATACTGTTCCATGCTGAATAAATATTAGATTAATGTAAATATTTATTCTCAGGCTTACTTCCTATTTCTTATAATCCAGAGGGAAAACCATTTGTATTTATAAATTTTAACTGTGAGTGATAATATCATATGTCTACAATAGAAATATTGTATCAAATTTCTGATCTTAGATAAATCGGGCATTTTCCAAGTTAACAGCTGTTATTTTTACTCGAAAAAGTTGAGGAATGAGGAGACAAGAAGACCATGTCAGAGCATGATCATATAAAATAACCATGGCTGTTGTTCTCACCACTGATAAACCTGTCTGCATTCTCATCTTTCTTTTGTAGGTGGTTGCTTATCATTATTGCCAAGCAGATAATGCCTACACCTGCCTGGTGCCAGAATTCGTCCACAATGTTGCTGCCCTGCTCTGTCGCTCACCTCAGCTGGCGGCCTATCGGGAGCAGCTTCTTCGGGAGCCCCACCTGCAGAGCATGCTGAGCCTTCGGTCCTGCGTCCAAGACCCTATGGCCTCCTTCCGGAGGGGCGTCCTGGAGCCCCTGGAGAGTCTCCACAAAGGTACAGATAAGGTGCAAAGAAGGTGAAAGGTGGAGGCTTTGGAGCCCAGGTTCAGCTGAGGCATGTTAGAGAAATGGGTTTTTTTGTAATCACATTGCCCAAACTAAATGTTCCATAACTGACGTCCTACAGGATACAGTTAACAGATAAAGGATTTTACTTGAAAAAGTAAAATTTCCTACAGGAACTGCTACTGCCTCCTTTCTTTATAAAAATTCTCATTCTCATGTCCAAATATAATGCATTTTCTTATACCGAAGATAGTAGACCTTCCAGTCCTTTCTGCGGAGTTCAAATGAATCAGTAAAACCATGGCTCCAACTCAGTGTTACGGACCTTCTGTCGTTAGCAACCTCCTTTTATGTTTAATGTTTTTTTATTCTGCAGTTCAGGTAAAATTAAATTGCATCCATAGGTGCACAACTCCGTGTATATACTAAAAATCACTTGTCCACTGAAAGGTATAAAAATAGTTTTTTAAGTGGGAACAAAATGAAATGAACTCTTCTCCCTCATACTTGTGCCTTTTTTCCCCTTTTCTTCTGCAACTTGAGTGCTGGCTGTGGCCTAAGTGCAGCCATCCCCCTTCACCTGTCGCTGCCTCATCCCCTTAACAAGGTTCTGCCAGTGCTGGCAGCCAAAGAAAAAGATTTGAGATAAGCGTGAGATTTCTGAGTGATCCTGTTGATTCCTGGGAGACTTATTTACCTTTTTCAAGGGTTTCAGAGATACTCATAAGAACAAGTGATTATAATGTCCATTGTCCTGGCCACCACCTTCAGTTAGTTCAGCCTTTGTGCTGGTTACTCAGATATCAAAGTGTCTCTTCTCAACTCCGATGACCTCTGTCTATACCTCTACTACCTATTAGCTTTACCATCCCCTAAACTTTTGTTAATCTTGGAATTTCTCTGCAAATATTTTAAAGCACATTTTGTGTACATTGAAGTTCCTCAGCCACCAATATGATATGAAAGGAGAGACTAATATGCTATCACAACTAAAAGGAAGATAATTCACATGTTATGTGCAGCTTTGCTGAACAAAAATGTTGTCTGATAGGAGACTTCTTTTCACTTTGATCATTTCTGTACAATACACCAGTAATAAAATCTCATGTACTAGGGTTCAGTTCTGACTTTAGCTCTAGCTGCGATCTCTTCTCTTGCAGTCCCTATCATTCTGATTTCTCTCAAGTATCTAAGTCGAGTCTTAGGATGGGACTACTAAGGAAGGTAGTTCAAGTATTTGTTAAGTATACATGTAAGTGAGGGCAGTGGGGAAGCTCTGGTGAATATATATTTACAAGGGATTAAAAACAAGAGTTAAAGGGCTTAAGAAACCTTTCCAGGGACTTGTCAGCTAGAATAGTGGCTCCTAAGAAGCAGTCCACTTAAGATTTTCATTAGTCCATAACAAAATAAGAAAGTAGAAACAGCCTAGAATTTGTGTGGGTATGAATACAGGTGTCGTTTTGCATATACATGTATGTAAGGTTTAGGTAGATTATGTCTCTCCTACTTTTTTAATGTTAACATTTTTTATTCTATGAAATAATAGTGATAGTGGGTAGTAGTTGTAGTTTAAATGTTCTTACATGGCAAAGCATGAAGTAGCAATGCTTTATTGGTCCCTAATTTTTAAAAAAATTTCATTAGTCTGTAAAATCTTTTTCAAAGCTACTGAGTTAAGAGTATGTATTAAAATAACCTTAAAAAGTTTAAAAAAGAACATTCAGAAGCATTCTTATATGGCGATTGCATTTGAAAGGCACAGTCTAAAGGTCATTAACATCTCACCTCTTAAGTTGCTAATTGAGAAACTTCATCATTTAGCAAAGGAAAAGGAAATTTTTTAGGAATAGTTCTCATTGCAATATTAGTACCATTTGGAAATTCTTTGCATTTATTCTCCTGAATCCTAAAAAATGTATTCTTAGATAAACATGCCATGTTTATGTCTTCACAGATGAAATCTTTTTTGACACCTCATATCACCTCTATTAATATGTGACTTCTAAGTAACTCCTTCAAAGGAAGGGAACCTCAAAAACAAAAGAAAACAGGAGGGGGGGAGCCAAGATTTAGAACAATATAATTATCTTAAGTGAGGCACGTATTTCTTTTTTTAAAAAGAGAAATCATATATTGTCTACTTTACTCATGGGATGAATAATATAATCTGGGAATTTATTCAAATAAAAAATTTAATTTTATTAGCCATTGAATTATTTTGTTATTCAAATGTCTAGACCATAATTTAGAGCATGTTTTTTATCTTTATGCTTGAGAATGTGTTTGAAATGTTTTTCCCAAAGAAAATCTCAACAGGTGTGTTATCATCAGCCTTTTTCTCCACTTGAAAATCCCGCCTTTCTTATGAAGAAGCCTGGGTAAGGTTCAAGGAGGTATAATTGAAGTGGTGGAGACAGTGGTGTGCGGGTAAATTTTTAACAGCCAGCTGCAGGAGGAGGGCTTGTAACATTTACTGGTTTCCACTGTGTAAATAAATATTCCCACCTTGGCCAATTTGAGGCTACCAGCTGCTTAACAACCAGTTCTTGAAAATACTTCAGTGGGCTCTCCTGAACCAGTCGGGATGGCTCCAGCACACCACTGGATGGGGCTCAGTGATGGTGCTCGGTAACAAGGGATAGGTCTGTTATATATGCCCAGCAGCAGAATGCAATTAGAAAATTCCTCTGTGGAAATTAAAGACACAATTACTCTTATGGGAGCCAAGATCCTCAAAATCAAGAACATAACAGCCCCCAGTTGTGTGGGTAAATCCCAATTAGTGAGAAGCAACTCCTCTCCCTAAATTCATTGCACTCCCCAAAGGAATAATGCGTTTTCTTAGTACCACATCATATAAAGTGACATTTCATTAATAACCATTGTTCATAGTTAGAGCTGGAATCCCACTTCATTTCTCTTCCTAATAAGTCACCAGATGAAAGTAATATTAAAACTTAATAATTTGAGAACTGACTTATAGTACTTAGGATGTTGAAACTAAATTTCTTTATATAAAGTTTGTACTCTAGGGGGGGAATATAAAGTCTTATTATTCATGCAAAAAATAAAATCTACATATTTTCAAATGTGAAACCAAAATATGCAGAGTTTCAGTTGGTCTTGACTCTTCTAAAGGCTAAAAGAGCCAATCTTGTACAGAAGTCCTCAGACTTTTCTTTCCATTCCCAGCGTCATCTTTTTCCTCCTCAGATATAACCTATTTCCTACTTCAGACATCCAGTGACTTCCTTCTCTGTTTCCCCTGCCTTCCTCCCTTCAGAACCTGTAAGGTCCTACTAACTAGTAACTTCTACTTATTACTCACAATTCATTTGTACTCAAATGTTCATTCAGCCTGGGATTTTTTTTTAAAGATTTTATTGGGGACTTGGGAGAGGGGAACAGCATTGGGGAATCGGGGAAGGGGCACAGACAAGTTGCTGTCCTTTTGTTCTTCAGTCTAGTTGTGGAGGGTGTCGCTTCACTGGCCCATGTTGGTATTATCATTGAGCTCTTCCCATCAGCCTGGGATTTTTAATCTCCTTGTTCAATGTAGTTTAAGAATCAGTAAGCATTTAATGAGAGTAGAAGCCTGAACTCTCACCAACCCTCCTTCTATAACCTAGCCCTAAAGATAAACTGATTTTGACAATTTAGTATAGAGTCCAGGAGGGAGCTGGATACAAACGTGGCAGATATTTATCTTTCCCACATGACTTCTTCCCAGGGAAGATCACGCAAGGGCCTAGTCTCACTGAAGCTGCTTTAAGGATCGTCTAGGAGGCTACTGGTTCTGTAAGATCTTATGATCCAATTTGGCTAATTCAGATCTGTCTATTGGCTAGGATTCCATTTTTCTGTTCCTCCATCCCTTCCTTCCTACTACACATTCACATGTAGTCTGTGTACCGCTTTGGACTTCAAATTAAACCTTTTTTTTTGGAAATTCCCAAAGGAACATGTGATACTGTTCTCTTTAATACTATCAGATAGAAAAAAAATAAACATATTCTTTGCAACATTTTCAAGTATAAGAGAAAAATTACTAGGGCCGGCCGAGTGGCTCAGTTGGTTAAGAGCTCGCTCAAGAGTTTGAGCTCTGAGCAACAGCGGTTCGAGTCCAGCCCGAGCTGAGCAGCCGCTGAGCTGCCAACAGGTAGCAGGATGGCTCAGCTTAAAAAAAAAAAAGAGAAAAATTACTATGTGTAAATTCTTATAAATGCAGTGCTCAGGCTGTCTCACATCTGATAACATGGGGGAAATGAAGATAATACATGCATTTCATATGTTATATATGTGACAAAAGCTTTCACATGTGAAAAACAAAATGAATTCACTAAATGTCTTTATAATAAATTACGTACTCTTGAGCACTTAGTAAACAAACAAAAGATCTTTTCTAATATTTTTTTCCAAACAGATATGTAATCAAAGACCCAAAAGCACTTACCCACTTGGTAATTATTAAGTAATTTGTTTCTTTCTATCTCAGAGAGAAAAATTCCAGATGAAGATTTCATCATCTTAATTGATGGATTAAATGAAGCAGAATTTCACAAACCGGATTATGGGGATACAATTGTATCATTTCTGAGTAAAATGATTGGAAAATTTCCTTCCTGGCTCAAACTAATTGTAACAGTTAGAACCAGTTTACAGGTATGTGTTTGCTTTTGGACCATAAATTATTTCCCGTGAAGAGTGCTTAAGCTGAAAAAGTTCTAGGTCCTTATTACTTTAGTGATGAGTTTTTCTAAACCTCTGCCGTGTCCTAGAGCCCTACCAAGAATAATTCTCAAAGAGCATATTTTGAGAATAAGAGATATGATCTAGAGAGAGCATTCCCTGTATATGACTTTCTTAGATAAGATTCCCATTCCCATTGATCTGGATAAGTTTTGATAGTGTCCTCCAAAATAGCATGGGAAGAAAGTCCGTTTTTCTAGACTTTGTCCTGAGGACAGACAGCAATGCAAATAGAGTCCCTTGCACTCTAATTTACTGTTTGACGTGTGTGTGTGTGTGTATATAATTTAATGCCATGCAAAAGTCAGTGTAATGTACAGTCCAGAGTCAGATTTTCTAGTTCCTCCCTCTGTTTCTGCTTGAACAACTTTTCTGTAGCATGAAGGTAGATTTTCTTCTGTGTGCCTTCTTCTAAGAAATATTGGCAATATTAAGGCTTTAGACTAAGCTTACTACAACTAGGACATAAGATTTTTTTTTTTTAATTTCCTTTCCTGCTCACTGATCACTTAATGGCCAGGAAGAAGAACTAGGAATGTGAACTGAGCCTATAAAGACATATGGGCTAAGGATAAATGATCCCACCTTCTCTACCATTCCTTACATATTCACACTTGGTTTGGAACAGTTCCTCAAATGTTTTTCCCCTAACCATAGTTTGTTTTGATGAACATTAAAATTTCACGTATTATACACCCATTCCACTACAGCAGGAATATTATTCCTCGAATAATATCATTGTTTTGTTCATCATTGTTTCATTATAACATTAATGAGATACCACAGAAACTTAACTCTTGTTTATATCAATAAGCCTGTGGTAAAATTGTTTTCATTACACATTGTTTTGCTTAAAGTTTCAGAACCTATCAATGACATTAAGTGAGGATTTACTATTGTATTTTGATGCAACTCCCTCATAACAACTGCTAATGTATAGGAAATAGTTTTAGCTCGCTCCTTTTTTCCTTTCCTAGACACTTAGTATCGTTCCTATATAATGAGCAGTTAGCTTTACTGCCATCTTTGATCAAAAGCAATACTTATAATCCTGACCACCACACCTTGCAGATGTTTGTAATTAATCTCAAAGTAATTTGAATTAAAGAATGTGGATGAATCAACATTAATGCATCTTTACAACTAAAAATTATGTAATCTATCATTATTGGCCAGTAGTTTCATTGTTAAAGATGAAGAATGAATAAAAGAAACTTCCAAGAACACAATGTCTGACTAGTTTTACTAAGTGTATGCTTAGGAGATATTATCCTCATTTATATTCTTACATAATGTCATGTGTAATCTCAAAAGACATTTTAAGTATGACTTGATAGAGCAGATGACTTAATTTTTCACCTACACCAAAGAACAGGAAAAGTACTATATATATATATTAATCTACAAAGTCCAAATCTCAGTGTCTTCATAAATTAAGACCTGCAATAACTTCCCAGATACTTCATTCACTTCAACCAAGAAGTTTTAAAAATTATTTTCATCCTTCTCTGACTGAAAGAATTTATAGGCCTTAAAAAAAATGAACCTTCATATTGGTCAGTCATTATTTCCACAAACATTTCATAAGTACTTTAGGTGTGTCAGGCACTCTCTAGGAGCTGAGGCTACAACAATGAACAAGACAGACAATATCCCTGCCCTCATAAAGCTCATATTCTAGTGATAAATAATAAGTAAAAAATAAAGCATACTAAAATTGTAGATAGTGTTAGTGCTATGAAGACAAATAAAATAGGGTAAAGGGATAAATGGGGGCGATAGTTATTTTAGGCAGGGCAGATAGGAAAGACCTCTCCAAAGAGCCTTGTAAAGTTGTGAGATCTGATTTACCTTTGGAAAAGATTGCTTTGGCTGCTAGCTGTGTAGATAATGAAATGTAGGGGATCAAGAATGGAAGCAGAAGTACAGGTGAAAGGTAATGGTGGCTTAGACTAGAATGGTAATGGTACAGACCTGTGACGTGGTCATAATTGGACAAAATTTTGAAGGAGAATCAAAAGGACTTGATGATGGGCTAAATGTAGGTGTGAGCAAGAGAGAAGACTCAAAAATGAATCATGGGTTTTGGGTAAATGCTGGTTTGAGGAAAGGAGAGAGATCACAGGTACCTCCTACAATTTGGTGGTAGGTCAGTGGAAATACCATTTATTGACATGGGGAGGTTTTGTGGAGGGGGGCGAAATTCAGTAGTTCTGATTTGGTCACATTAAGGTTGTCTATAAAACATCCAAGTGTAAATGTTTAATAAACAGAGATTAAAAAACGAGAGCTCAGGGGAAATGAGTAAACTGTAGACATAAAGTTAGGCATCATCTGCATATAGATGATATTTAGAACAATGGGACCAAATAAACTGTTCTAGGGAGAGAGAGTGGCTAGATAAAAGAATGGAGACCTGAGCCTGGGGTGGCCTGAGAAATGAAAGAGGAGCCAGGAAAAAGGCCTGGGTAGGAGTGGCCATTGTGCTCAGAGGAACATGAAGGAAACATGCTATGAAGCAGGCTAAAGAAAGGTAACTCAAGGAGAAAGGTGTGATCACCTGTGTCATATACTGCTGAGAGGCTGAGGAAGATGAGAACTGCAACTTGATTATTGGACTTGGCAAGTTGAAGATTATTTATCGATAACCTTGACAAGAAACATTTCAGTGAAGTGATGGGGTTGAAGCCTGATTGCAATAAATGGAGGAGAGAATGGGAAAGGGAGGAATTAGATTATAGTACATAGAGAAAACTTTATGTGAAGTTTTGCTAAAAATGGGAACAGAGATATAGGATTGTAGCTGGAGAGAGGAATTATGGGGTCATTTGTGTGATCCAAAAGAGAAGAAATTGATACAGGAGAGAAAATGGATACTTACATGAGCAAAGTCTGTAAGCAGATAAGAAAAGATAGAATCCAGAGCATAAGAGTCACCACAAAGCCCTGTCACCTTTCCCCAATATCATTTCCAAGCTGATCACCAAGGTACCGAGCTTTCCACTATTAGAAGTATTGCTTTGTGCTAAGGCATCTCCGAAAGGCCTACATTAAAATGTAGTCATTTTATTAGGGTTAGAAAGCCACATTTTTATTTTTTACTGAATTGTGCTTTGACATTATGCCATGGTTTGCACTAAGAAAAATTAAAACACAAAAGTTTTATCGAACTCCATTTTCTACTTATTTTAGGAAAATTATTTAGACTATCAACCTTTAAATCACTCTTCAAGTAACCTTTATGAATACCCATAAAAAAATTAAGTCTCAATAGTAGGAAACGTTGTGTTTCTCCTGTGCAACTAATTTGTTTTAACCTATGGATACTAAGACTTGGTCATGTTTCCTTTCCTCTGGCCACTCGGAAGTTCAGAATAAGTTTTTGGACCCCATAGTTTATCATAAGAGTTAGGGGAAATTGAAGGTCTTTCTGTCTCTCTCTCTCTCCATCTGTTTTAGGAAATTACCAAGCTGCTGCCTTTCCATAGGATTTTTTTGGATCGACTAGAAGAGAATGAAGCCATAGACCAGGACCTGCAGGCTTACATCCTGCACCGGATACACAGCAGCTCTGAGATCCAGAATAACATTTCACTTAACGGCAAAATGGACAATACTACCTTTGGCAAACTCAGTTCTCATCTCAAGACTCTCAGTCAAGGGTCCTATCTATACCTGAAACTCACATTTGACCTCATAGAGAAAGGCTATCTAGTGTTAAAGAGCTCTAGCTACAAAGTAGTTCCTGTCTCTCTCTCCGAGGTTTATTTACTCCAGTGCAATATGAAGTTCCCCACCCAGTCCTCCTTTGACCGGGTGATGCCTCTCCTGAATGTGGCAGTGGCCTCTCTCCACCCACTGACTGATGAACATATCTTCCAGGCCATCAATGCTGGCAGCATTGAAGGCACACTAGAATGGGAGGACTTTCAGCAGAGAATGGAGAACCTTTCCATGTTTCTAATCAAGCGCAGAGACATGACTCGTATGTTTGTCCATCCTTCTTTTCGAGAATGGCTTATCTGGAGAGAAGAAGGAGAGAAAACCAAATTTCTCTGTGATCCCAGGTAAGCCATAGATCTATCATAAGCGATTCTGAGCCTTTGTTGTATTGATTGCATGGACCATGGGTATCGAGAGCAAGAGAAGTGTTCTTCATTGAACATTTCACATAAAGGAAACATCGTCTCTGTTTCTACTCAAGACAAGGTTATAATGAGATTAACTAATTTATTTTCTCACAGTGTTATTTCCTTGAGACTCGAAAGCTGCATGGATATCTAAAATGCTCCCATACATTCCTGTATTTTCCTAAATGATTTTCTCTGATCACACTGGTGATTCCAGGCTATAATTAATGAGCCATTTAACAGACTTCCTAGATATTCTTCATCTATGAAGAAAGAATTGATACATTGTTCATCTCTTTGACTTAGAGCAGAATCATTTTAAAATGGTGATTGCTCTTTTAAATGCCGTATATACCATTGATAAAGTCACCAATGACTAACCCCATTAAAGCCCAGCCAATGCTAAGATTTACACTGCAAAATGGAATCTTAAACCTCAGTGCTGAAAAAGACTTGAAGAGATCAGCTGGTCTAGCCACTGTACTTTAGATAAGGTGCCATCCCCATTTTGCTATGAAGACCTTAAGATTCTGAATCACTTGCCCAATGTCATCAGTTAATAGGTGAGAGAAAGGAGGAGGGACTAGAATAGGGATGGTGAATAAGCAGTATGTACTACCACTCCCCTATCCTGCAGCCTTGGCAGACATCACTGGTTTACCCCAGCATTCTTTCCTGATAAGCTTGACTCTGACTTAAGAATCTCAGCTCAACAAACCACACTAGATATGAAACTTTTTCCCATTCTCTTGGGTAGAACCCAGATCTCTAGCATCCTAGCCGGGTGTGCTTTCTACTCCTCCACACTACCTTAGTAAAAGAATTATTCCTTTAATAAAGTTGGTGTTTTCAAAAGCAGGTATATTCTGGATTTCCTGGAAACAAAGAAGACACAAACATCATAGCTGGCAAATGCAGAGCTTATTCTGGCTCAAAAGGAAGATAGGCCAAATTTGACTGTGCCCCCCACCACACCCCCACCACCGTGACTCATCAGAGAAACTGAATCTCTCTGACTGTGCTGGGGTTTTATGACTCTCCTGGCATATTGTCACCCAGCCTTATTAGAGACAACTGTGCCTGTGGGCATGCCACTCAGCCTACTTCATGCTGATTCATTAGAAAATTAGTTCCAGATTCCGATGAAGAGATCATGCCAGGCAGTAGATTTCGTGGCATTTTCTCTGAAAGGGAAACTTTTAAAGAAACAAACTGGTGGAAAGAACATAAATTTATGAATCAGATTACCTTCATATAAATCTTACCTCTTCTAAGAACTGTGACTTTTGGAAAGTTACATGTTTCTGAGATAGTTTTCTAATCTATATACATAAAAGAGATAGTAATTCCTGAAGTTGTTGAGAATTAGTGAGGCCATGCAGTAAGTATAATACCTAGAATAGTAGAGAGTACAAAGTGTTGAGGAAATACTCTTTTTCCTTCCATCTCTTTTTTAGTAATAGGCTGTACAGTTATCCCTTAACTGAATCCTATAACTAATTGGATAGGCAGCAACAGCCTATGCTGTTAGCATTTGGGGGCACAAGATTAAAAAAACAAAACTGAGTTCAAGTCTCTTGTATGAACTGTATGGTATTCCCAAGAGGGTTTTATTATAAATCCCACTAGTACTGCTACTCATGCTTAACACAAAGACTTTGCATTCACGTATTTAAGAAAAAGAGACCCATCTACAATAGAATTGCCTATAAACACTCTGAAATCAGTTTCCAGAGAAACTTTGCTAGCTACGCTGCTTGCTCATCTCAGCAGATTAAAAGTTGAGGTCCAGAGCAGCCAGACTACCACTGAATTAACAGTATCCTTGCAACCGATGAATTCCTCAGGGCTCCCAAAGGAGAAAATGCGTTATTTATGCAGCCATATCATGGCTTCACAGGCTTACCTTTTCAACACTGTTTATTGACTAGGAGCATTTTGGCAACAGGCAGATACACTGGGACAAGAAGAGCAAACACATTTAACCCGAATGCCATGCACAGGCATGCCTCAGAGATACTGCAGGTTGGCTTCAGACCACCACAGTAAAGTGAGTTGTACTCTGTTTGTTGATGGAGGGTCTTGCCTTCAATTTGTAGATAAAAACTCAGCATCTGTGGAGCCCAAGAAAGCAAGGTGCAATAAAACGAGGTGTGCCTGCACTGTGCTGCCTGGGGATTGAATGACACTCAGGGCTGCTGAGGGATCATCATGTGTCATTTAATGACAGAGAGTAAAATACTAGGACCAAGAGGTATCATAAAAGCTTCCTTGCATTTCATTTCGGTTGGTGTTCAGTCTTCTGCCCAGCGCTGTCTGGCACCAGCTTTGTTACTCAAGTATTGATCTCAGAGCTTGAGGCCCCCTTGGGTCAATGAGATGGAAATTCACTAAGAATTTAATGCTACTGGCAAAACACAAGCTGGCCTTTCAAAGAAACTGGCTGTAATTGCTTTCCATTTCAGGCGAATCTGGTTAGCAGGACTCTCGAAGCAGGGTTCGTCTTTGTGGCCTCTAGCCTCTGCTTCTGTACATTGTTCCTCCCTCTGTTCACTTGTTACTCCAGTTTCTCTCTAGAGCATCTAATGTATCTCACTAGACCAGGGGAGACCCACACGTGCATCTGGTAGGCCAGTGGCTGGCGTGCGCATCTCTGTGGAAGGAGATCTTTCAGAAGCAACAGCATCTCTCTCTCTCTCTTCTAGTCCATTTTCCTGGACTTTCAATGCTCACTTGCTCACCCTGAACTTGTTGACCTTTTTAGGGAATGATACACAGATGAGGATATTCTACTGAAGCCAAAAGTAGTTGATCTTCATCAGAAATAAACACCCAGGGAGGTACTTCTGCTAAGCTGAAGAGTCAGTAATCTGAGGATGGTGCTAGAAAGAGGAAATAGCAGAGCCAGAGGTCAGTGCTATGGTTGAGACAGAGTTTTCTTTATGTTATTATGTTGAATATCAGACTTCCTATTGTGTCAGAATCAGGGCAGAAAATTGGCATTCCCAAGAGAATGACCTAATGTTGCAGAGACATATAACTGTCACAAAAAAGAGATGAGTTATAGATGTCTTTTCTTGGCTTGGTAACAGGGTGAGGTGTGTGTGTGTGTGTGTGTGTGTGTGTGTGTGTGTGTGTGTGTGTGTGTGTGTGTGTTTATCAAACTGTAAGCAAAGTATCACCAAAAATCTTTTATCACATCAAAGATTTTGGATTTGCACTCTAGGTAAAAGTATGCCCCTTGAAGCACTCAAACCTGAGACCTCACCACCTTGTTCTGCTTTCTGTTCCCCACTATTCGTCACTGTCATACTCTATCATACTCTGAAATTAATCTGTCCTATATTTTATTCCCTTGGTCACTGAGATATCAGCTGAACTCACTAATCTAATCAATGAATCTCTGTTGTTATGCCAATACGAGGGAAGTAGAAAGCCCATTTGAAGCAACTTGTACGTTTTAAGTAAGGCCTTCGAGAGAAGTCACCAGCCTGTGTTATCCAACCTATTAATGACTTTGATCGTTGAAATTTGAGGCTGATAGACAGCTGGGTGCCTCCAGCCTTGTGGTGCTGCCCAGTTTTTACAGCCTTGTGATGCTGCTTAATATTTCTCCATAGCTCTAGGCTGTCCCTGAATGAATCCCCACTCTTTTTTTCTCTCTCCTTTCCGCAATATCTGTTTTCATGGTTTCTAGCCTCCCCTTTCCTAGAAACAGCTTGCAGATCAACATATATATGCATATGGGAATATATATGTAAGATTTTGATACAGAGATTAGAATATTCAGCTGCCTTATTTTTAACTGTTTGAATAAAACACATAAAGCTTGTTGTGAACTTTATTTAATGAATATTGAGCTGATAAAACCTAAGGTGGTGATTTGGAAGCCTAATTTGGGTTATCCTGATTTCCTCAAACTAAGAGAAGCAAATTTCACAGTGGGTGAAAAAGGTAAAAGGCTACACACATCCTACTTATACCTGTGAGGATAGTTGAGTGCTTTCTTGATTCTTTGTGACCAGAGTTGATTTATTATAATAAATGGTCTGAGATTTCTGCTAATTATTTTGGCCATATTAATGAATTATATATTGGAAACCTGATGCTCTAAAATCCATGCCACAAAGCAGAGTGTCAGAGAAGCAGTTTGTCTAAGGAAAAAAAGAGGGCATTCTTCCTATAAAGAAAATCTAACTGCACTGGGAAACCTGTACAGCCTGGCTTCTGTACATGGGTCGGAAATGACCACAGAATGGTGAATCGCAGGGTTGTAGTGATTTTGTTTGTTTGGTTTGTTTTAATTCAGACATGAGCCTCCAGGCCAGATGACGGTTAACCTTACCCTCGCTAAAGCACAAACTCAAAGTCACTGCTTCTGATGGCCCCTGCAGACTCCCACAACAAACCCTTGAACTGGGGGATGGGTTCTGCTTTCTAGAAGCATTAGGAAAGACTTCGACAAAGTGATGGATCCTGGGAAGGAAAAAAGGGGCCCCTAGAGCTAAAGCAGCCCTTAGGAGGTTTGGAAAAGTTAAAGCAAAGAGAAGGGAGATGTAACAAACTTCTTTTACTAGCACTTGACTATTAGTAGATGATCTTACCTGCCTGAAAAAATTAACTCTCTAATCACTGTTCTGGGTCTAGATCTGCTTCACTTCTAATTCTTTTCTACCACTCAGGGGAAATCAGTTTTCTGATGTCATGATTTAGATGTGTGCTTTCCAGGGAGAGAGTTCATTAATCTGTAATATTATTGTGGATTTGTCTAATTTGCCAATAAGTATTTTTTTCTTATCTAAGTTTCTAAATCCCTGTTGGCATCAAGAATAAATTTTAGACTCAAATCTGAACTATTACTCTAGCGACTGTAGTCACGGTTTTATGACATAATGCAAGGCAAAAATTAAATGAAATCTAATGTATATCTTGGAATA